TCTTCGGTCGTTCGTAGTAGTCTAGAACTTATTATTAGTCTTCGTCTCCGTACGTCGCGTACGTGGTACGTACGTACTGTCGTACTCGTTCTCTCTCTCTCTCTCTCTCTCTCTCTCTCTCCCCCCTCCCATCTCTCTTTCTCTCTCTCTCTCTCTCTGTTTTTTATTCACAAATAAGATTATGAGCTAATAGATCTCTGCTTAGTTTTTATGCATGTGAAATATGAGAACAGGGTAGTTGTCCAAAGAAGAAATTTGCTGAGACTGGAGAACTAGTACTGCATTTGAAATATATTCTCTATTTTTCAGCTCAGATGCAGTGAAATTTGTCAGAAATCAACTCTGCCAGCACGGTGATGTTCAGGTGCATGATTAGCTTTTCATTTGTCCTTTGACTTCTTCTATGATCATATGATCTATGGACCCTTTCTTAACTTTCTTGCACTTAAATTGCAGTTGGCTTGTGAGGCGCTTGCTCAAGAAGCTTTGGTATTCCTCAATTCTTGCACATATATTCATAATGTTATCAATGTTGTCCCTTCTGTTATTAATTTTGGTAAAGAGCTTTGTTAAAATTAATTTCATACACTCGTATCTTTACCTTGTAATCTCAGAATATCATTTTACCTTCTGGGCTGACCATAATTTGATGACTTTGCAGGACCGGCGTTCCCAAGATAATATCAGCATTGTTATTGCAGACCTAGGGTATGCGATTTCTTCTAACTTTTGTGATAGAGTTGTATCATTTTATAGTCATGTCTTGGTTTTCTCTTGCCAAATTGGTGAATTTTAACAATATTGACATCATCACTATTGATATGAAGTATGTGATTTCCACAAAGTTGATGATTATCATATTTATCGTTTTCTTCTTGCAACTTTATTTTTGTGCTGAATTGGTCAATAGATAATGATGATGTTGCCATCAACAAACAGGGGATTATGAATTTTTTCTAAATTGGTGAAAGGAAAGCTTTACTATTGCCCATCTTGTCTTGGGTTTCATAATCAAATTTTTACTAATTAATTTTATAGATAGCTTAGCATTGTCACCAACATGAGTTATATAATTTCTGTTAAATTGGTCAATAGAATCTCATATTGTCGCCTTCTCCCAGGGTCCATAATGTTGTCCTTTCTTTTTGTTCTCTTTTTATGTACAAAACTACTGAAAAGTTTGATATGTTATTGAAAATAATCAGCGATAGCAATCAAAATGCATTGGTGTCCTTACTGTCGATAATATGTAAAGATGAACAATTGATTTCTCTTATAAGGTATTTTACACTTTAGTATCAAGCTCACGTGTTATTTTCCTCGTTTGATAGGAAAACGGATTGGCAGAGTGTTCAGCCAGAGCAACAGAGCTTTGGCTATGAGATTGGGCAGGCTTTTGCAACAATTGGCATTGTATCATTAGGAATTTGGCTGTCTTCCCTTCTTGGAGCATGAATTTTAAGCTTGCCCAACATGTACATAAAGTAGATTTAAATCCCAACATAATTCGACCATGTCTTGTATGTGCAACTCTCCTTCATAGCACTTCACTCGAAATATAGTTACCATTTTTTTTCTCAACTTTTTCTTATTTGGAAAAATTCTGAACGAACAACAAATTTATTGTATGTGAAGGTTCCTCTGGTATGCTCGGGAATGAGTAGCTTATGTGTGATATTAATAAAATTAGCATTTAGAATTAAAATTATGGGTGAAGTTTTGCTCAACTCCAAAATGCAGTTAGCTTGAAAGTTCTAATAAAATGGTTTGCTTTTTAATTTCCTTCGTTTGAAATTTCACTGAATTCAGGAATAATTTGTATCCTTAATTTCTTTATGTATTTAGCCATTGGAATGTTTGGTGTTTGCCCCAAGTAAGCAAAACCAGTGTTTTAAAACGCGGCAATTTTCATCGGATGGGAATTGGTCAAGACCAAACCGGTTCCAAGATGATATAGGTCTCAGCATGGTGTCCCCTTAAAACTCCCATTATATATATATTTTTTTCGTTGTATCCTAAGCTCACCAAATGATTTTTTAAGCCCCTTCTAAATCCATGCCTCATAAAACTTTATTTTAATTTTTATTTTATTTATTTATTTATTAATAATTTTCGGTATCATTGTTTCAAACCGATCCAAACCTGATCAAAATCATCAGCCTCTATTAACGGTTTAGGCTTCCATTCCTACTGATGTATTCAGAAATCACTGACTATTTCTAATTTCTAAAATAGGTAGGGGACTGTAATCCCCCATTGATCTACCGGAAAAAAAAAACTAGAAAAAGCCTTGAACCACATGTGGAACTGGCAATCTCCAAATCTTAATGGGAGAGCGTTGAGGCCATCTTAAATGATTATGGAAGAGTAGCTGATAAGCAGATATAACTGAAAACATATATCATTCTCAATATCCCAGAGCTTTTCATTCTCCATAAAAGAAACCCTTTTGATGTATTCTTATTTTGAACTTAAAAGATGAGTATTAGAGGTAATTTTAGAACAAAACCCAAAGGGAATAAATTATTATGGGAATGGATAGCGGTTGAACTGGTTTAGGGGTTACTTACCCTAAACTCCTACTTGGCAAGAGCAATAGAATTGGAAATGATGTTTGAATTCTGATAAGATGCTCTCACCCTTAATTCTTTGTTCTCATCTAGATGATTTCTAAAATTACCTCTAATGCTTATTATCTTTTAATTTTAAAATAAGAACACATCAAAAGGGTTTTTTTTATGGAGAATGAAATGCTATGGGAGATTGAGAACACCCATTATAACTACTATCTGCTACAGAAGGGACTCGGGTCATAATCCGCTAACCACCCCACCTGGTCTACTTAAAAAAGGGTGCGGTTTGACTTTGAATAGAACTGAGGCTTTAAACAATTAAATTAGAGCCACCTTCAAATAATATCAAGAAATATAGTTTCATCACTGAAAATATTTTGAGTAGCCTTAGAATATATTTTTACTTTTAATTGTAAAATTTAAAGCTTCAAAAATAGTGTAGATCGAACAAATATATTAAAACTTGAATAACTTAAAAATTGACAGTCCAAAATTACAAGATGCACTATTTTCAAAAACTTGAAATCCATTTTTTTGTCTAGTCCATGCATCTTGATGTGGAGATGATCAATTTAATGATATTTAGGCACCAAACAACATATTTTAGTAAAATTTTTGAGGTATGCTCTAATTTGATTGTTTAGAGCCTAAGCTCTATGTAAACTTTTCCCTTTAAAAGACGGGCATATCACTTTTATTTATTAAATATATCAATTAAGGACCCGGTTTCTATACAGCCAAGCCCGCATATGTAGAAATGCGGGCCTCTTGATAAATCTATTTTTGAGATGGATTTTAAGATTTAATTTTTAAGGATATGTAATCTCCAACATGGAGTTCATGAATATGAAGAAATAAATAGATTTTAAAAATTAAAAATAATAATTCTAGTAAGAAAATATTTAGACGGTTAGTTTCTATTGTTTTTATGTGGAACACTTATTTGCATGCATCTTTAAGATGGATGCTTTACACTTTTTGGATCGCATATGCAGAAATGCCATTCAAAGAGTTTTGTATAAGGTTGCCTACTTATGCTATAGAAGTAAGGTGCACCTATAAGTTTTACTTAGAGATGTTGTTTCGGCGTGAAAAACATGACTTAAAAATATCTTTTTATCCTATGTTAAAAAGTTAAAATTTTAAAAATATTCCAAATCAATAAACCTTTAAAAATTTTTAAAATAGACGGTCCAGATAATTTGTTGCAAGATATACTATTTTCTAGACTTGGGTTTTTTTTTCCTTTACATCCATTTAGGCAAAATGATCAGTTCATTTATATCAAGGGCAAAATGATAAGTTGGAAGTTTCTTCCATGCCGGAACAATCTCCACAGTAGGATTTTGTAGGTGCACCTTACTTCTTACTTCAACAATATAAGGTTTTAACCCGCCGGAACAATCTCTACAGTGAGATTTTTGAGGTCCACCTTACTTCAACAATATAAGGTTTCAACCCTATATAAACATTTTGCCTCGTAAAAGGGCATGAGTAAGAGAAGCATATAAGATAAATTAGGAAGAGAAAGGACCACGTAAGCGAGCACGTGGCAACATGATAATCAGGGAGAAAGGATAATAAGAAAATATTATGTAGCAAGAGTGTAACGGCGGTAAACCACTAAAGGGGTCACAAGAGGACCACGGACAACCAAATAGACAGCAGGAGAAAGCGATAAAATTGTTACGAAACAAATTAAAGTAGGGAAATTTTTTCATGAGGACTGGACCGCATGACTACATATGCTCTCCAAAAACGTGTAAAGCATCCATCTTAAATATGATGCAAGTAGGTGTTTCATCTAAAAATAATAGAAAATCATTTTCTTACTAGAATTATTATTTTTAGTTTTTAATATTTATCTATTTATTCATATTCATGATCCCCGTGTTAGATATTACATGTCTTTAAAAATTAAGTCCAAAAATCTATCTCAAAAATAGATTTATTACTAGGTCCATATTTCTACATATGCGGGCTTCGCCACATGGAAACCGTGTCCTTAAAATAAAGGACAGAGTTTCTATGAGTCCATGTAAAAATGAGTCACCTCTTAAAAGTTTGTTTTTGAGATGGATTTTTAGGCCTAATTTTTAAGGACGTAATCTTTTATTATGGAGATCATGAATATGAAAAAATAAAAAAAAATTGAAAAATAAAAGTAATAATTCTATTAAGAAAACATTTAGACATATAGCTTCAAGTATTTTTAGATGGACCACCTATTTGCATCCATCTTTAAGATGAATGCTTTATATCTCAGGGACCCTAAATGTAGAAATGCAGTATCCGCCGCCTGAAACAATTTGCCTAAAATAAATCACCAAGAAACTGAATCCTTTGTACAGAATAGATGCACAATCCAATTCTTCTTCATGAACGAAAAAGGAAGTTAAAATGAAAAAAGTTATTACTGAAAATATGAAAAAATAATTATCATTGTCAAAGCTTTTTTCAATTAATTAAGGTCGGCGTTACGAATCCTGATATGCGATTATCCACTAGTCTCCATATATTTTCGCACTACTTGATATCATGTTCTTTTGGGCCTACCTTTTGCTTTTTTTTTTTTTTTGGCCAGAAAATATAAAGAAACAATATATTTTAAAATTGCATTATCTCATGCACACGTACAGCAAGTATATACAAAAGAATGTAGCTTTCAAAAAATTTCCGATCTTTCTCCCACTGAACTCTTATCTCTTAAATCTATTTAACAAGACCAAAATGATTCGTTATATTCTGGTGATAAAGTTGCTAGAGAAGACCATGTCCATCTCTCCTACAAATCTTTCCTTACCTTAATGTAAAGAAATAGGAGCGAGGAAAAAAAAGATTAATTAAAATTTAGAAAGGGCCTCTTAGTGCTTAATATTCTTATCAAATTTAAGACTATAAGCGCGTATTTAGCTTATCTTAAAAGAAAACATAAAATAAATAAAAAATAAAAACAACTCTAAATAGGGTAAAAAAAATAAATGGTAATAAAATAAATAATGTCATAAAAATAAGTAAACTAAAATTTAAATTTTGATAAAATTAAATGCTTTTAACAAAATTTATCTAATCTTTTTTTTCAAATATTAACGTAGTTATCATTCATCTATGTAATGTCACTTACACTAGAGAAATTTATCAAAACACACATTTCTTTTCAACTATTTAACATTTTACCTTTTAACTATTCTTCGTCAAAACAGGATTGCATACAATGAGACCATTTATCTTTGATACAAGGAAGTTACAATTATTTATAACCATTCAATGTGAAATTTTATAGTTTGGATGTGTCATAAAGTTCGAGAAAATCTCTTTTGTACTTAGACCTTGGCCAATATAAGATGCGTCATAAAGTTGAAGAAATTTTATTTTGAACTTTGAGCTTGGTCAATACAATAAATATCACCACCCAATTATACATCTAATGGTCAAAGTTAATTGTGACCATCTTGTTCTAAAGATTAATGGTGTTATTATATACTTTTTTATAAATAAATAAAAATGTATGTATTTTGATGTGCAATGTGAAATTAAACTAAAATATATAAATAAATTATTATATATTAAAGTAAAATATATAAATAAATTATAAAATTGCATACAATGAGACTATTTACCTTTTGTACATAGAGATAACAATTACTTACAACCATCCGATGTGAAATTTGATATTCGAGAAAATTTCTTTTGAACTTTGACATTGGTTAATGAAATAAATGCAGGCACCAAAATTCACATCCATTGGTCAAGAATAATTGTGACCACTTTATACCGAAGATAAATGATTTCATTATATACTTTCTTATAAATTATTATATAATAAAATATCTTACCTAAATTATTATATAATAAAATATCTTAAACACATTTTTGACGGATTTCCCATTACACTATTTTGGGCTGAAGCGGCCTTATCTATGTTTAAAAGTAGAGGGCGCACATAACGCGACGTTGGAATATCACAGAGGTTATCAATTATAAGAAAAGAATTTGATGGACGGCTGAGATCAGCGTTCCCATGGTGTTTCATATGAGAATGTTTCTCATACGCTGCTCTCCCCAAAAGTATATAGGTAATAGGTTTTAATATTTCTTTATCTAGAGATTCTGTGCTCCCGCCGGAGCATTTCATATTTTTTACAAAAATTTAAAATGGCGATATATGTCCCTAACCTAAATGGTTCAATGAATCTCAGGAAAAGAGTCATTGTTTCTCTGCTTGAGTAGATAATGGCGACTTCTTCACTCTTCTCTTCCTCTTACCTTCGGTATGTTTCTCTCTCTAAAAACATATACCGTCAGGTGTTGTTTTCGTGGACTAAAACGCATGCAGTAATTGAGTGGTGATCCATTTCCATTTTTATTTTCAGGAATGAGCAGTTTCCTGGTTATAATCATTTGACTGGTATAAAGATCATCAACCCCCAATTTGATGCACGCCATCGAATAGTATATGATGTGAATTCAGAGTGTATTAATACATCAAAAATTATGAGCTCGGAGAAATGGCCTTTAAGGTGGCACAGAACTCTGAAAACTAAGGCCCTCACTCTTCCTGTTTCACCTCTAAAGCACATAGAAAGGTATCTTTTCTTCAAAATCTTATTTCATTAACTTTTTGCAGTGTTTATAGGTGGAATTTGTAGCTATTCATCAAAAGAATTATGGCCTCACTAGATTGGTATATGAAATTCCCTTCTTTCATATGTTTGAGTGATGTTTTGGACCCTCTGTGTTCGAACACTGACTGTTGTTTGTCCTTTAATTTAAAAAAAAAAAAAAAATTGTAGAAGGACCAGTAATGAACATGCTAAAACCTCGAAATTTTGAGAACAATGATTCCTGCTATATTTTTCAGTAATAAGTGTGATTGATCAATAAAAGACTTTTCAAAGTGCTATATGGCATATTAAAAATCAAAACACTGCTACTCAGTCTTGAAATTTAGACACATAGGAAACCAAAATTTGTTGGACAAATGCACTTTTTTTTCCTTTGGTTATTTCCCTCAATACGAATCAAAATTAAAGTGAAAGGCCTGAGCGTCATTCAAGCTCTGTCATCCGCACCTCTTTTTTTTTTTTCCAGTTTGGGTTGTGTAGGAAGGGTGTGGAGGGGGGACATGTCATCTGATTGGACCCAAATCGAGAAAATTTTGATGCATTTAACCTGTTGGGTAGCTCATGTTCGATCGGAGAAGAAACCATGTTCCTCAAATTGCTTGGGCCATAGTTCTAGTATTTTTAGGTTGCTTGCAATCTTTCGAAAAGACAGAAGCCTATTACGTGTATTATTTACTACGGCTGCTTGGTAGTTTTGTTACTCCTTCATGGACTCTTGGTATATGGAATATCAAATACTTTCATGCTCTGCATTTCATAATTAACTAGATGGGGTGGCATGGGCTCCTATACTAACTTCCTCTGTTTATGTATTGCTTCTGTATGATTTGTGAATGCCATCTCAATTTTGGGTCTTGGTCTCCCCCTTGGCTTTATTATGTTGTGTACAAGTTGATTTACCTAACAATAAGCATCGATATGGATTCTTTTATACAAAAAAATAGATACAGATGCTTATTATTTAGTAGATGTGCATCATCATTGATGCAGTTCCATAGATGAACTTAATAAGTTGATAGTTAGCATCGTTTTTTATCTTCAACATTCCATTGTCTGGGTAATTGCTACCAGGTGTAGAACATCAAATGAAGATTTGAGTACCTCCATAACTTACATGTCTGATTTGGAGCAACAGCTAGAAGAGTTGTTTTCTACAGTGAAAAAGATGATAAGGGAGGGGAATAGAGATGCAGCCTTAAAACTTGTTGAGGCAAACTATGGAGCATTGAAAGAGCAGCTAGATGCTGGGCAGAAAGGTGTGGAGCAAGCTGCTATTCTTGATGTCTTAGCTTTGTCTTATACACACATATGTGATTTCAAGTCAGCAAGTTGTTTACTTGAGGAGGTAATTTTGAGTGGTTAGTTGCTTCTCATAATTATCATGAAAAAAGAAAGTTAATTCGTTTGACTTAATTCCTTTCTTGTATATGATGCTTTAACTGATTGAACTGTGTCAAGTATTCTTTTGTATGTAAGGAAAGGTAATTTTGGAAGTAGAGTTAATAAAAGTATTAGCTTATTTTTTATTTATTACTTAGAATATATATCTACAAGAATAAAGGAGACATACAGAATTGTGCCAACTATTGAGGGATCAAATTTATGAGCCACATTATGAAGCTATGCGGGAGAGTGATTGAGCAACGACTAAGGCAAGAAACAAGTGTATCAGAAAATCAATTCAGTTTTATGCCAGGGAGGTCAACAACTTAAGCTATTTTCCTACTAAGGCAACTGATTGAGAAGTTTAGGGCGAAGGGAAAATACCTCCATATGATTTTTATTAATCTAGAGAAAACTTATGATAGAGTACCCTGAGATTTTATTTGGTGGGAGTCGGAAAAAAAAAAAGTCTTCAAATACTACATCGACTTGGTGCGAGATATATATGAGGGAGCACTAACTAGTGTGCGAACAATTAGTGGAGAGACGAGTGAGTTTTCAATGACAATAGGTCTACATTGGAGGTCAGTATTGAGCCCATACTTTTTTGTGATAGTTATGGACGACTTAACTAGGCATCTACAAGATGAGGTATTGTGGTGTATGTTGTTCATAGACGAAATAGTTTTGATTGATGAGACTCGAAATGGCATCAACTCAAAGTTAGAACTTTGGAGAAATTCGTTAGAATCCAAAGATTTTAAAATTAATCAGACTAAGAAAGAGTATATGAAATGCAAGTTTAGCAATAATAAGAGTAGTGACGAGGAAGTAGTTAGGATTGACAGCTAGGAAATATAAAAAAGAGCGCACTTTCGATATTTTTTATCAATAATGCAGGCAAATGGAGAGATTGAGGAAGATGTTGCACATAGAATTAGAGCTAGGTGGGCAAAATGAAGATGTGCAATCAGAGTTTTATATACCAATGAAGCTAAAAGGCAAGTTTTATACTTTATGGGGTGGAATGTTGGGCGGTCAAGAAACAACATACCCATAGAATAAGTTAGTTGAGTTGAGGATGTTGAGATGGATGAGTGCTAAGACAAGAAAGAATAGAATTCAAAATGAATACCTTCGGGAAAATTTAGGTGTGCACCAATTGGCGATAAGAAGAAAGAAAGTAAACTTACATGGGTCAGCTATGTGCAGTGCAAACCCAATACAACGGTTGTTAGGAAGCCCAAAAGGACATGATTGAAAATAGTGAGAAAAGATATCGAGACTTATAGCATCATTGAGGGTATGGCTCTTGATAGAGCAGCATGGCAAACCAGGTTTCGTGTAGCCGACGTTAGTT